GGAGAGAACCCCCCCCCTTCCCCACACAGAAATAGCGACAGAGAGGCAGAGAAACAGAGACACAGAGAGACATGGAGGCAGAGTGAGACTGGGAGAGACAGAAGGAGAAGCAGAGAAACAGATGTGGAGACAGAGAAAGACAAAGAGACAGAGGCAGAAAAGTGAGCAGAGAGACAGACATGGAGACAGAAAGACAGTGACAGAGGCAGAAAGAAAACTGAAACAGAGGCAGAGTGAGACAGAGACCAAGATCGTCCTCCTCTTGGAAAGCCCTACCAGGTTAGGATCTCATGACTTCATGTAACCTTCAGTACCTCCTAGGAGCCCTGTCTCTAAATATAGTCACCCTGGGGGCCAGGGCTTCAAGGTAAGAATCTGGGGAGATGTGATTCAGTCCACAGCAGGCGGGAGGTGGCCTCAGGTACCGTGGGGCATCCTCTGTGGAAACCCACCTGCTCCTCCTCTCCCTGTACACAGGGAGTCCACACACGCCCTCCCCCCGGGGCTCCCTGCACCTCCCCTCACCCCACCTGCATTTGGACTCTATGCAGGTCTGGCTGTTTTGACACATTTGTTTGGGGAGGGAGTCCCAAAGGTAGGGAGCCCCTACCTTTAAGTCGAATGCCATCTGCAGACGCGTTCATTTTGGGAGGGAGTCCATGGGGTGTGTGTTTTGAATTCATAGCCACCATATCCCAACAGGGATGTTTTGGATGGAAACCCAGCCTTGCAGCTCCTAAAGACACGGAGAGCTGTCAGGGCTGGTTTTTGTCCCCACACGGCCCCCACAGGAGGGTCAGGGTCGCAGCTGCCCTCTAGGAGCATGGCCTGGGCCGGTCGGTTGCCGCGTTCCCTGACCTCTGAAACGTCTGGCCCTGTCCGTGGTGCGTGTCGCGCGCCTCTCCCAGTGGGCGGAGGCATTTGAGAGGCTTGCTTGGTGCTTTTCCTTCCTCCCTCATCCTCATTAGAATTCACTTTTTGCCCATGATTTTGCAACACAGCAGCTAGAAAATAAAATGAAGGCATTCCTGTTTAATGTGTTAGTGGATAGCAGTGGATTAAACTTTCTCCCTGACTGGCATGTTCTGTAGCTGCCCTGGGAGGGGATTTCAGCGGCACGCGGTGCTAGGAGTCCTCAAACCAACCCCGGGATGCTCTGGTGGGCGTGACTGGAAGTAAGGAAGCGTGCTTCCTGTCTGTGGCTGCAGATGACAAATTCCACAGATGGTGTGTTTTGATTCTTACGGGGTAGGCCTTGTCTCCAGAGGGCATCCACGGCCTGGGAACCCTTACCCCTCTTGCATGTGGCCTTAACCTCAAGGGATCGCAGACAGAAACAATTCTGGTTGCAATGCTTACGTGTCCTTCCCTGGAAAGGAAAGCCATTCCATTTCTGAAGAAGCAGAGAGATCTGGAAGCCAGGTTTTGTCTTCTCACGATTGTTATATTTCAGGTAACAAAGCTGAGATGGGGGTGGTTCCTGCAGTGGGAGCTCAGAAAGTTCCCCCGCCAGGGTCTCAGCAGCATGGGAGTCACCAGCTCCCTGTCACTAGGCGGCGGGCATGAGTTATCACACTCGACTACTGGGCACTCAGATGTGGTCGGTACTCAACAGCGTCAAAACCCCACGATGGGGGACCCAGCGAGGGTGTCGCTTATGCTGCAGCGTGGAACCACGCGTGCGTCTGTGTGGTCTGAGGCATCCACGTTCTGGCACTTCTTCCAAGGCTGTAGAAAACGCTGTTACTCAGACAGCGTGTCAGATTATGTTAGTCCACCCCTACCCTGTCTTCCTCCTCTTCCTCTTCCTCCTCCTGGCAATTGTCCTGGCTGGTGCCACCGCACTGGCTGCTGGGGACTCTCATTTTGTTGTGTTGCGATTCCAGGCCCACATTTCGGAGCCCCTCTGGTCTCAAGCGTGCAGCCAGCATGTAGTGATCTGCATTTTGGTGGCATTTCTTCAGTGGCGCTGATTAATTTAGGAAGGCTATATTTAATTGGGGTGCTGCCCACTTCCCTGGGTGGACAGCTCTCGTAGCGCCCAGGGTCAGTTAGGAGGCCTTCCAGGGTAAGTCACCTTGCCGTTCAGCATCTTCACAGGACCAGAAAGGTGAGCAGAAGGCTCCGAATTTCCCTCCAAGGCCTGCAAACACATGCGTGTCAGGGTGGTATCTGTGCCTACCAGCACAGGGGACAGTGGGAACCAACGCTGGCTTCCCTGCCAAGCTGCATGTGGAACCACGGTCCCCGTGCCCACTTCTGGGCTCCTTCAGGGTAAACAAGCATGGACAATGCAAGATGCTTGTAATCTGGCAAATAAAGTCTCACAGTCAGAGGAGGCTCAAGCTGGTACCTTTGCCATTTTCTTTGTGCCTTTACCTGGCTGTCTTTGTCACTGAGTGAGTTTCTTTTACCATCAAGGTAGGAAGGGCTTCGGCACTTGGCTAAGTCTTTTGTGATTCTTGAAGTGTGGGGTGGGGGGGTCATTAGTTTCAAGACAATGTTGCTTTTTAGTAGCTCTCCCTGTGACTGGCTGCCTTAGCAGGCTGCACCCAGTATAGTGAGTGACACCTGACTTCAGTGCCTATTCACACTTGGACCAATTTGGGAAGCTACATTGGAAAGAGATGAAGATGTTTCTCTCCCTTTGCACGGGAATATCATGGATTAAGATCCTGAGCTTTTTTCCTGGGAAGATTGATTTCATTTCATAGGTTAAGCAACTGACCTTGAATCTCTGAGATGGGATATAAGTAAAATAAATAGATGTAAGCATTTCTACAACCACCAGAAAATTGGGTGAAAGACCAGCCTTATTTCTCTTCCCTGTGCTCCTTTCTTACAGTTCACTCTTCCTAAATGAGATGCAGAGGGGCGGATGGTGTGAACCAGGTGGCTGTTTGGTGGCAGAACTTGGAAGAGGCAGGCAGTCTTTGCAGTGCCTCTGGGAGGGTAGGGCCACTTGTTTGAGCCTTGACCCTGTGCGGTAAGATGTGCTCAGTGTTCTGTGAAATTGCTGTCCTTGAATCCTCACAATGTCTGCTAGGGTGACAGTTTTTATATCCTTAAGTCACAGAGAATGCAGGGATGCCAGGCAGCTTGTCCAAGGCCACATTTGGGAAGGCTCCAGTGTGTGTTTAGGCAATTTGACCTCAGAACTCATAATCTAACCCCTATTTCAAATGTCTCTTGCTCTCAAATTCTCTGAGCTATTGCTGCCTTAGTTTACCTTGGGGCATGTCAGCCTCTGAGGTCAGCAGCCAGGTGTTTTGATTAGTACACCCATTCCATCCCCTAAGACCTCCAGGGATTCCCCTATGGGGAATTTGGCATATCCTTCAGGGATATGCCAAAGAATCTTCAGTTCTCTCAAGAAACCAGTGTGGGACTACATGATGATCTGCTTTACTTGAGAAAGACAACACTAAATGTTACGCCATCTAGACCATCTCAGAAGAGAGAAGGGAATTGCTCCATTACCAATCGCTTTCCCATAGGCTGGGGGAATCACTGTTTCCCAAAACAAAGCACCACAGTCTTTTATGTTTGGGTTCCTTTGCTGTGCTTTATTGTTGTGAAAACATAGGTGCCAGGCAGTAGCGGGGCTCGTTTTGACTGTGGCTAAGAGAAAGGGAAGGTTGACTGAAGAAAGGAAGCTGAAAATAGCCAGGAGGAGCCTCTCTCCTTGTGGGAAGCGTTGAAACCACGCGATTCCCTGCTGCTTTTCTACTGTGAGTGTGAATGGAGCCTAGACTCTGAGCACTCGAAATATTGTAATGGAGATGAACCAGATCAATTCAAGGGAGTGTCCCACCAGCGTTCATTCATCTAGGGTATGATCAGAGAACAAACTGGAACAATCGGGAAAAAAGAGAAATTTTCAGCCCGACAGCTGGTAGCTGGTGTGGTTGAAGCAGCCTTCCACTGTGAGTCATTGATTATCCCTCGGCTTCTCTTTTGACCGTTTGTAATGGATATCATTCCTTCTTTTAGGATTCTCAACTTATTGAAGTCCTTTTCAGGTTGCTTTATTATTTTTATTTCCTCTGGAGTAAATTCATCCCGATTATTAATTTTGGGGGATCTCTTTAGTAGGGTTAGTTTCTGCAATTACTCTTTTCAGACTCATCTTGAATGAGAGATTCTTACTCCCATTTCTGTGCTCACTCTCGCTGTCCTACCTATTTGTAGTTACTGTATCATACCTTAGGTGCTCCCAGTCTTGAATTCGATTTTATTATTGGCAGCTCAGAGTTCCGGTGCCATGGGGATATTCGAGAGTAAGACAAGTCCTAAAAATGAGCCTAAAATAGGGTCTCCTCCCTCTTGCCTCTCTAGGTGCATCACCTCATAAAAGCTACAGCTCTAGGCAGAGGTGATACATTATTTTCAGCTTTCTCTGGGGGCTTAACTGTTGCTTCAGATCACGTGGTGACCTTAGTTCAGGTCTCTTGTCTTATGTGGAATATATTGAATCTTGGATATCCTGAAAAAGTTGGACTCTTAGTTCTCCCTGCCTATTTTTGGACTCTGAATCTACAAGGTTCCAGGAGCTCCACTCACCACGTGGTGTTCTAGCCATCTAGTCCTTGGAAAGTTTTATGTTATTTTTGAGGGGCTAAATCTTGCTAAACTTTCTCTATGTTCATTGTGGCTGTATGTTTGGAGCAGTGTTCATGGGGAAAGGGATGGGTCAGAGCTTAACTCCAATTGGTGAGAAGTTCTCTTGCTTTTTTAGGACACAGACACAGAGTGATTAATATATAGTATTTTATTATGTCTAATCACCATAAAGTATAACATCATTGCATTTTGTAGATTGGGAAACTTACAGTTTGAAAAAAGAGAGAAATCAGTCCCAGCTCATACACAGCTTATGGATTGCAGAAGCAGTGCCCAGCCTTGGGTTTCATTTCCAGATCAGAGCTCCTAACCCTTGAATTCTACCAAGTCTCTCAACACTGGGGCACCATCTCTCATGTCCTTTCCTTTTGTCCTAGGGAAATGAACTGAAGGATGCCACCCAGGGAGAGCATCGTCTGAGATCCCATCATGCAGGCCTTTCCACAAGTGCCTGGCAGCATGACAAGGTAACTGATACCACCATCCACAGACCATCTGGGGCCCTGGAGGAGGGGGCTTGGCCAGGGAGGAACAACTGGGAAGAGGCAGGGAGGAATCAGTGAATGCCAGTGTGAGGGTGGCCCGAGAGCCTGAGCCAGGTCTCCCTCACCTCTTCACATGACCAGCATGTGAGGCACCCAATGATGTCTCATCCACTGTCTGCTGGTTATCTCTGCTTGGAAGTCTATTAGACACCTGTATCTTTAACGACAAGGCAGAATGAACCCATTGGTGCCCACTCTCCCAAACCACTTTCTCCCCAGTGAATGGTGTGGCCCCATGCTGGGGCCTCCTGGGCGCTGCTGTTTCTTCATCTGAATCGAACTCCCTGCTTGAGTCTGTTTTCTGTTGCTTATAACAGAATACCTGAAACTTGGTACTTTATAAAGAAAAGGAATCTATTTCTTAAGCTATGGAGGCTGAGAATCTAAGGGTGAGGAGCTGCATCTGGTGAGGACCTTCTTGCTGATGGGGGCTCTGCAGGGTCCCAAAGTGGTGTAGTACATCCTATGGCGAGGGGGCTGAGTGTGCTCACAGACCAGCTGAGGGCTCCCTTCTTCTTCTTATTGGGCCAACAGGTCCACTCCCCTGATGACCCACTGGTCCATTAACCCTAATCCATGAATGGACTCATCCATTTATGAGGGCAGAGTCCTCATGATCCAGTCACCTCTTAAAGGACCCACCTCTCAGTACTACCCTGTTGAGGACTAAGTTTCCCACACATGAAATTTGGGGGATGCATTCCAACCATGGGACAAAACAACCAGCTACATCAGTGCCACACGTGCCCTGGCAGTCCTGCCTCCTCTCCACTGTGGTACTCTTCTCTTTCCCAGATGCCAAAGCCATTTTCTCATTGGCCTGTCTAGCTCCCTTGTCATGCTGTGGTTCATTCCCTGTGGTAACTGGAGTGATCTCGTGATGCTGCTGGATCACACAGTCCTCTGACCCTTCCAGTACCTTCTGTAAATAAAACTGAGGCTTCTCATACCACTGCTCCAGCCTGGGTAACAGAGTGACACTCAGTCTCAAAAAAAAAAAAAAAAACTGAAAAGGAGGATCTCAAATAGATGTATGTACATGTTACAAATGTATAGTAGCCAAAAGGTGGCAATAACCCACATTTCCACTGAAGGATGAGCGAATAAACAACACGTGGCATGCGTGTGCAATGGAATATTATTGACCCTTGAAAAGGAAACTCTGACCCTGCAGCATGGATGAAACTTGGGGACACTTTGCTAAGTGAATAAGCCAGTCTCAAAGGGCAGACACTGTTTGATTACACTATGAGGTTCCTGGAGTTGTCAGATCCACAGGGATGAAGAGTGGAATGGAGGAGCCAGGGCTGGGCGGAGGGGAATAGGGAGGTGGTGTTTCATGAGGACAGAGTCTGAGCTGGGGCAGAGGAAGGACGTTCTAGGGATGGGTGGTGGTGCTGGTAAAACAGTGTGAATGTCCTTAATGCCACTGAGGTACCTGCAAGTGAAATACTTAAGATGGTAAATCTTATGTAATGCATATTTTACCACAATTTTTCTCTAAAAGGTGTGTTTTAATATATGACTCTCCAATTAGTATGCTTTCCCATTTTCCCACCAGCCCTCCGTTTCCAAACCTATACTTTCAGGAAAGGCTGGGAAACTCACTCACACTGAGGTCTGAATGCATCATAAGGCTTACCGACTTTCTTAGGCCAGGAGTATTTTTCTTCAAATAGGAGCAAAAATGTAAAAGGATGGGGGTGTTTCAGGCCTCCAGTGCAGGCTGATGACAGGGCTGCTGGGGAGCTGGGCGTGGGGAGGTTGGATCCCAGGATGGCTTTCTTCCTGACTAAAATAGCTGCATGTGCTCACGTTCCGCTGCTGAGCTGGGCTCCTGCACCTGGAGAGGCGATGCCAGCTGTGGGGGAGGGTGGGGTGGGGCTGGAGCCAAGCCCTGCGGGCATTTGACCAGGCCAGCAAGGGCCTTGCGGGCATTTGACCAGGCCAGCAAGGGAGTTGGGGTCCCAGCGCATAGCCCTCACAGCACAGGCAATGGGCTCCTTTCCTGGCTGCCTGGTGGTGCAGCTGGACATCCCTGCTCCTGTAGGATTCAAACTGCTTTGTTTGTTTGCTTGAGGTTTGAAATTTCTCCCCCTGCTGTCTTCTCAGCTTGGCCTTTTAAACAAGGCTGCAACGCACAGGAAATGAGCTGGCCTTTGCTTCTGCTTTGCGGGGGTGTCTGAGGGAACCCAGTGGCTCACCTGGCATGGACAGGAAGAGCAGTGCCTTGCCAGAGGTGGTAGGGGTGCCCCCAGGTCCGTCCTGCAGCTTGCCTGCTTTGCAGAACTTGGCTTTCCATCAAAGTGCCTGGGCTGGCTACCTGCATGGCAGGCACTGACAGAATGGCAGTCCCCAGAGACTGTCTCTTGGGCCCAGCATCTTTGCAGTCCATGGTAGCTGGGGAGGCTGAAGGGGTGGGGTGAGTTTGTGCTGATGGAAGCACTCAGCTATCCCTCCAGACTCTTGGGTAGGTCTGTCAGCGCAAACCTACAGAAATACCAGGGCCCTTCTAGGTCCCTGGAGGCACTTGGGGATCAGCAGTTCCCGTATCTGATTCTTACTTGATATTGCAAACTGCTTTTTGGTAGCCCTGATTAAGAGATGGAAGTTAATTATCAGAGCTCTTAATTATGAATGCAAAGAGATTGCATTATCAGCATTTTCCCTGTGCAGAAATGTTTGATTTTTAGGTGCATACTGTGGTATTGGGCTGTCTGGAGTATTGGATTCTCTTAGGCAGGCAGCCTTGTGGAAGGAGACCAAGGATCTGGGATCTAAGACAGTGCAGAGAATGTGTTTGATGCCTTTGCAGCCTGCAAACCCAGCCTTGTGTTGATTTCATAAAAATAATTCAAATTTCAGGCCGGGCGCGGTGGCTCAAGCCTGTAATCCCAGCACTTTGGGAGGCCGAGGTGGGTGGATCACGAGGTCAAGAGATCGAGACCATCCTGGTCAACATGGTGAAACCCCGTCTCTACTAAAAATACTAAAATTGGCTGGGCATGGCGGAGTGTGCCTGTGATCCTAGCTACTCGGGAGGCTGAGGCAGGAGAATCGTTTGAACCCGGGAGGAGACTGAGGTTGCAGTGAGTCTAGATCCTGCCACTGCACTCCAGCCTGGGCCACAGAGCAAGACTGTCTCTCTCTCTCAAAAAGAAAAGTGATGGACTTGGAGGCAGAGACCTTGACACAGCGGGGATCCCTGTACCCCTATATTATGCTCAGCCAGAGGCCAGGCATTTGTCAGCCAAGGGCTCGTCTACCCAGGCTCCTGGCAGAGCTGCAGAGCCCAACCGGGCAGAGAAGAGACTGCCAGCCCCTCTTCTGGGCCACTGGCCCCGGGTGCCGGCATTTAGTGGCCCACTGGAGCCAATATTCACAGTGTTTTTAAGTTAGCAGCGTCAGTCCTCTCTCGAGGTGTGATTAGTGGCTGCCAAGTTAGAGACGCCCCTTCTCTAGGTGTATCAGCTGGGATTATTTCCAGTTGCACCTCACAGAAGCTGAGCTCAGTGGTTTACTGTTATGCTCAAGAAGCCCAGAGGTGGTGCCCCGGCCAGAGGCAGCTGCCTGGAGCAGGAGTGAGGGCTCAGGGGCCCCTGTTCAGCTGTGACCTGTGTGGAGGGTGGCTTCCATGACACTGAGACAGGTGGTATTCCATCTTGAAGGGTCGCATCCTCACTGTGGCGGGAGGAAGAAGGCGGGGCGGGGCTGAAACTTTCCTCATGAAGCTGTTTCATGAGAGGTCATCGTCCTCCAGAGACTTCTGCTCCAGGGTCATCAGAACCATATCACACACAGTCTCAGTCTGGTCCCAGGAGGAGAGAGATGGCACATCCCCCAAAAGCAATTGTGGAGGCTGCTAGGCATTCTTAGGGAGGTGCAGGCAGGGTTAGGGGAGCGACTGAAGCCCTGGGAGCCACACCAGTAGAGGCAGTGACAGACCTTGACTTGGGGGTAGGGAGGGGTGGGGGGATGTCCAGCCCAGCTCACTGGGGCTTAGGCTTTCCTGGGACAGGTGCCAGTTGCTGGCATAGAGTGAAAATTGGCTGCGTGCTTATGGCGATGGGGACTGCTGTGTAGTGACTTCTGCATCGGTTGTCTCTTGCTGCTGCGACAAATTCCCCTAAACTCTACATCGTGTCTCACAGCTCTGGAGGTTGTGAGTCCTAATGTCAAGGTGTCAGCAGGGCTGTGTTCTTTCCTGAGGCTCTGGGGTAGAGTCTTCCGTTGCTTTTTTTTGGCTTCCTTCTCCGATCTTCAAAGCCAACAGCAAAGCATGGTCCAAGCTCTCTCTTTCTCATCTCTGGCTCTGCTTTTCCTGATAAAGACTGTGATTACAAAGAGCCCACCTGGATAACCCAGGTGCTCACCCACTCTCAGGACCCTCCACGCAATCCCATCTTCAGGGTCCCTTCTGCCACAGAAAGTGATATATTTGCAGACTTTAGGAATCAGGATGTGGTCATCTTTGTGTGGGGCCATTATTCAGCCATTATACATCCAGGAAATGAGTCTCTTGTGTTATACTCCCCTCCTGGTCCACACACCCTCTCCTCCTTGTTGCAAACCAGGGCCGTGGCCTTCATCATCCTGGTAAACAAAAGGACAGCAATATAGGGAATTTTAAGTTAAATGCAAAGCCATAATTGTGGCATGAGATGGCTCCATTAAAGAGTAGATACCGGGCTAGGTGCAGTGGCCCACACCTGTAATTCCAGCACTTCAGGAGGCCAAGGCGGGCAAATCACTTGAGGTCAGGAGTTCAAGACCAGCCTGGCCAATATGGCAAAACCCCATCTCTACTAAAAATTCAAAAATTAGCTGGACATGATGGTGTGCACCTGTAATCCCAGCTACCTGGGAGGCTGAAGCGCGAGAATCCCTTGAACCTGGGAGGGGAAGGTTGCAGTGAGCCGAGATTGTGCCCCTGCACTCCAGCCTGGGCGACAGAGCAAGACTCCATCTCAAAAACAAGAAAGAGTGAATGCCACCGGTTTGCCCCAAGGTCTCTGTGGACTCTGCCTGGACTCTCCACTTTCCTCCATGAACTTCTGCTCTTTTCTCTTCCTTGCAAACATCACCTCAAGGCCAACAGACCCATTCATTCCCCCTGCGTTACTGCCTTCTGTGAACTGCAGTTGCCACCACATTTTCCACTGCGGAAACACAGTTCCACTTTGGGACAAAGAGGATTTAGGGGCCAGGGGGACTCTAACTTCTGGCACCGTTTGTAGCCTTCCGGTGGGAGAGTGGGTTCTGGTGCTGGGTGATTTCTTTCCAGGCTCACAGTGGAATGGCGGTCAGTCCGCAGGTTGGAGGTTTCCTCTTCCTGACCAAAGCTGGAGGCTGCCCCTTAGTGGGCAATTCCTGACTGTCCAGTGCTCTTGTAAAATGCTGAGTAATAAACGCATCTTCACGCTGGGTTCTGCAATGGAGCCTGAAACCCAAGTTGGCTTCTCTGTGAAGCATGAGTCTGAATCCATTTCTCCTCAAACGAGAAGCTCCTTGTTTAGGGAGCCCCTGAGCCGTCCTGTTGCTTATGGACCATTAGATGTTTTTTCTTTGGAGATTTTACCCATCAGGGTGAAAACAGGAAATAGACAGCACTTGCCAGCTGGAGGATGGAGCAGAGTTTAGAAAAGAAAGTACTAGCCAGGGTGTGGGTACTGCTGGGTGGGTAGGGCAAGACACCTGCAAAGGGTCTAGGGAGCCTGAGACCAGCAGAGGCCGGGGGCTGTGGCCACCTGCTGTGCGTACCGGGAGGCCCTCCCAGCAGAAGGACGCTATGCCGGGGGTCACCTGGTTCCATCATTCAGTGGGAGGACTCGCAGAACCTGGTGCGCAGCTGCCCTCAGGGCTGTGACTTATTACAGCAAAAGGACACAGAGCACAGGTGGCAAAGGGACAGGGCACACAGGAGGAAGCCGTGAGGAGACCAGGTCTGGGCTCTCCAGGTCGTCTCCCAAGAGGATTCCCAAGAATCACACAGGGTGCTTAATGGACCCACAGCTGCAAGCTGTGATATGTGTGAAATGTCATCTGTCAGGGAAGCCCATTCAGGACTCAGCAACCAGAGTTTTTATGGGGGGGGCTGGTCACATGGGCACGCTCTGTCCAGCACATACCAAAATTCTAGACTCCCAGAAGGAAAGGTGTTCAGTGTAAACTGTCTTTTCAAGCAGCCTAGATGTGGTAAGCCATCCTAATCAGTTAGGGAATGTAGGAATTCTCCCCAGGTCCCCCTTCCCAGGCCTCCAACCAAGCGCCAGGCTCACCAGCAGCCTTTCTAAGGGAGCAGCTCAGGGTAACCCCTGCAGGCTGGTGGGGAGGGCTAGGGGCCTGGTGTTACCGACCCTGTCTCCCACTGGGTGAACCTATTAGAAGCTGGATGGTACAAGGAGGGGGTGCAGGCAATGAGGATGGGCCTCTCTGGACACAAAGCAGGATGGATGACAGAGGGGCCAGGTGTGGAAGTGCTGACAGGAGCCAGGGCCACCTTTCCAGGCTGGGAACTTTCCTCACGTCCCACCATTCCATTCGGTACAAAAGTCTTGCTCGACCACTGACTCCCTGCCAGGCACTGCTCTGGGCTCTGAGATGGGGAATTTCCGGGCAAAAGAAAACCCGTCTGGTGGGACTTCCGTTCCAGTGAGGAGCAGCCACAGGAAGAAGGCAGACAGCCGCAGAGAACAGTGATGAGCGCATGTGGACCCCAAAGTGTGGCAGTGGGGGAGGGAGGGGGTGGAGGCGGGGGTGGGGATGAGGGTTTTGTCACCTTGCATGGGTTGGGAAGGCCTGTCTGAGGTGACTCCTAGTAAGGAGCCAGACCTGAGCTGGCGGGGGCAGGGCGGGGTAGAGACCTGCGGCATCAATGGAATCAGCAGGTGCAGAGGCCCTGGGGTGAGAAGAAGTTCTGGCTTTAAGGGACAGAAGGAGGCCAGGGTGTCCCCAGGATGGTGGCAACAGGGTAGCAGATAGATAGGGCTTTTAGACCACCAGGGAGTTTGGAGTTTATTCTCATTCCTATGGAAACCACAGGAGGTTTCAAGCAGACAGAGGCAAGATCTGACAGGTATTTCAGAAAGATGATGCTGGTCGCTGTGTGAGGTTGGATTTAGAGGCATTCAAGCATGACTCCCAAGTCTAATGTTCCTGAAAAGCCAGGATGCAAGAAGTGAGGCTTTCTGCACACCTCCACCCCAGGGTATTGAGGTTCAGAAGAGAGGATGGTTTAATTCAAATACGTCGTGACACTTTCACCGGGGGCACTCGGGTTATTTCTCTAAGTTCATTACTTGATAACATCACGTTGCAGAAAAATGGCATTAAAAGATTCCTTCAAACGAGACCTCTCTCTGACCTGCGAATAACAGCTTTCCCATAACCCCGTTCCCATGTGCACATGCCAAGTGGGTGCCTTCCTTTCTTTTGGTGCCCCAGAAGTTGTCAGTTTAAACTAACACTTGGTACAGAAAGTATTTGAAATAGAAAGGACTTCTGCAGCTGAAAAGCGTGACATTATGTTAGTCTGTTATTGAAGCCGTAGTTCATGTCATAACACTTGGGGAGAGGGAAAAGAAACTACAAGGCTGTGGTTGGGTAAAAAGATGTTTTGTCTCTACAGTGAAATGAATGGGAAAGGAACCATGGTGACTTCTTTCATTGATAGCTTCCTCTCACCTGTTTCAAAGAGCAGAGAGGCTGAATATGGCACCTGCCTTCCCAGTAAGCTTGTAACTTGGCCCTGGGAGACGTGGCCTGAGAATGGGCTTTATGTGGTTTCTGGGTTTATTGGGGAATGCATTCCAATTCATGTGAAATTTCATTGCCATTTTTATTTACTTTTAAGATGAGGTGGAATTTTTAGACAAGAATTAGTATGCATAGACAATGGGAAAACACTTTATCTGTTAGGGCTGATAGTTACAGGGGATAGACGATGCAAATTGGCGTAGGCAAACAAGAAGAATCTATTGGTCCAAGTGACTGAAAAGGAAAAGACAATTAGCTTCAGGCTCAGCCTGATCTAGGTGCTCAAATGAAGCCGTGGGGATCCTGCTTTTCCCTCTGCATCTCTCTGTGTTCGTCTCATTGGCTCCGTTCTCCAATGGGTTCTTCCCTCACGATGGCAAAGGCCACAGCAGTTCCAGCTTTCTGTCTTTAACTTTCCAAGTTCAGTGGGCAAAAGGGAGAGTTCTTCCAGGTTCCTATACAAGTGCAAGATCTCATGTCCCCAGAATACAACTGGGTCATGTGACTTCCCCAACCAATCACTACACCCAGGGCATGGGACTGCACTGATTGGCCAGGCCTGTGACACATTTGCAACCCCGAACCAATCACCGAGGCTGTGGTGGAGGTGGGTGGGAGGAAGGCAGAGGTCATCTGCTGATTGGCCAGCCCTTGGTCATGCGGAGTCACCCCTAGTAGGACTGGACCCAGTCCATTCTCCAGTCCGTGATGGAGAATGAGGGAGGGAAGGATTCTCTACGAGGAAACTGAGGATTTTGCTCCTAAAGAGGAAGCAATGGATGTCAGCTGGGGACAGATGCCCGCTGCAGCTCTTAGGCACGTCGTGATAGCCTCCTTGTCTCCATCCCTTCCGCTTGCAGGTGAAGGCAGAGTATGTGCGTCTCAACCACCCACTCACCCTTGTGAGCAGAGAGCGCGCTTTGGCTGTGAAGGAGAAACACCAGCTCCAAGCCAAGCTGGAGAACCTGGAACAGGTCCTGAAGGTAGGCTGGCTTTCTGCATTTGGGACTCACTGTTCGTGAGGTCGGAGTGAGGAAGGAGGGCTGCAGGGCCCCACAGCAGAAGGTGCTCAAAGCTCCCTTGGAAGCCGTCGTCAACATTCAGGGCTGTTGGGGTGGCTCTTACCCTTTTTGTCGCATAGAAATCAATAAATAACAAAATTCGAGTGTTTCTGGAAGCAATCCCGTAAAGCCAATTATGCATTTCCATTTCTTAGGATGTTAAACACAGCTGAGCTGTGTGGTGGCAGCTCACTGCTCCTGAATGGAAATGGAGTGTGCTTCCACTAAAGACCAGAGGGGCTACGGTGGGTTTCCAAACTTTCAGGTATTTTAAGCTGCTCCTCAGACATTTAATGACCTCTAGTATAAAGAGAATAGCTAAACCAGAACGTTGCTCTATCAGGGTACAGGTAACTGGACATTCCTCACGCTTTCCTGATGAGCTGAGATCTCTCCAGTATTTAGCTGGTGGCTTGATTGGCTATTGATGCCACTGAGGTAAGCTGAATGAATTTGTTTTTTACCAAGTGTTAACATTTTATTGGATTCTCATTTTGGGAAACATTTTTTTACAAAAATAAAAAATAATCATCTCCAGTTCTGTGATCCAGTACATATATTACCGGGGTCATTTGCGTTTCACAATTAGAGGAAACAGGATTAGACTGCACCCGAAAATACTCTTTAAGTGATTTTACCTCCATATATAGCCTCTTTGGGGAAGTGTTTGGAGCTCTGAGGGGAGCATCTGGATGGTTGCCAGGGATGATGGGGGGAAGTGGAGGAGGTGGGGGAAGTAGATTAGGCATGGGGGAGGCGGAGGGGATAAGGGAAGTGGATGAGGTGGGAGGAGAACCAAGGGAGTGGGGGGAAGTGGAGGGGGTGAGGGAAGTGGAGGGGGTGGGAGGAGAATGGAGGGGACAGGAGGGGAGTGAAGGGGACAGGAGGGGAGTGAAGGGGGTGGGAAGGGAGTGGAGGATGTGGGAGGGGAGTAGAGGGGGTGGGGGGAAGTGGAGAGGGTGGGGGAATGGAGGGGGTAAGGGTGAGTGGAGGGGGTTGGAGGGGATGAAGGAGGTTGGGGGGAGTGAAGGGGATGGGGATATTGTATGAGACCCCTGAGGGGTATGAGGTTCTTTTTGGAGTGATGAAAATGTTCTCAAGTTAGATGGTGTAATGTCTGTAAGACTTTGTGAATGTGCCAGCACTGGGCCATTGCACCCACAACAGTGAGCTTTGTGGAATGTGGGTTCCTCTCAATTAGAAAAGAATGATTACATCTCAATTAGCAAAGAAAGGTGCCGTATTCTCCGACTACCGACCCTGAATGTGAACCAAGGGGTCCTGCAGTTCTCAGCAAGCTGACTATCCCGCTTCTCACTGTGTGCTCTAAGTTTTCAGGCCGTAACTCTGAAGAGGAGGTGCTATCACAGAATTCTTTAAGCAGCTGCCTCGGTTACTGACTTAGAGTTTTCTGAGGACACACACCATGATTTATCCAACCCTCTGCCTTTAGCGCCTGGGACACACGTTCAGGGCTTAGTGAATTTAATGTAGGATGTGCCGTGACTCCCTGGGTGAAAGGAGCTTAGCTGAGAGTCTCCTGGATTAAAAAATGGTTCTCAGCAGGGCAACTTCCCCCCAGGGGACATTTGCAATGACTGAGGACACTTTTGATTGATATGAGTGGGGAAGAGGAGGCCAGGGTTGTGGAACCCTCAACCACGCACTCAGATCCGTCTCCTACAGCAGATTGTCACCTGGTCCCACACGTCAGTGGTACTGAGGCTCAGAAACCATGTATCTGTTTCTTATCACTGCTGTAGCAAGTGACTCCACAGAGTCTCAGTGGCTTAAAGCAACACAGACGTGTTATCTTATAGTTCTGGGGGTCAGAAGTCCAAGATGAGCCACAGGGCTACAGTCTAGTGTCGTCAGGGCTGCGTGCCTTTCTGAGCTTTGGGGAGAATTCGTTCCTTGCGTTTCCAGCTGCAAGGGCTGCTCAGGGCCCGGTATGCCACCTTCAAAGCCAGCAATACAGTATCTTCCCTCCTGTCTGACCTCACATTCTTTGAGTTTGTGGCGTTTTTTTCTTTTGTTGTCAGTGATGTGAGTGGAATTGGAACCTCAACACAGTTTCAATCAACCTGATTTGCTGAGAGCCAAAGAGGATTCTACAGGGATCAGAGACCCATCCTGGGAGGATGTCAGGCAGTGCAGGATTCCCAGCTCTGTGAACCTGAAGCCACACTGGCCTGACGGCCAGCTCACGGCCCCTCTCCTTTGCCTGTATGGAGCAAAGACGCTGGAGTGCCAGTCTGGTGACGAGCTTGGTGACTGCGTCACCAAATCACACCCACCACTGAGTTTTACTGAATTGCAAACAGGATATAGTTTTCCTTCCAGATGTAAAAGCTTTTAGTGAAATAGATAAGACTGAAATTGGGGCTGAATGTTTCCTGAAACATTTACGTGAGAATAATACTTAAACTGACCAGACCACCCTTCCCCACCCCCAGCACAGATCATGCAGTGATATTTAACCTGATTTGAGTCCCTTTTGATTTTTTTTGTACTTTAAAAAAATGGTAATTGATCACTTCATTATCTGTGAATGTGTTTATTATGCTTCTTTCCAAGGATATGGTCTAATTACCAAAGTCATTAAATACAGTGGAGTGATATGGATGGAAGAAGAATGTTTGCATAAGAGCTGGGAGAACTAAGATACCAGCTTGCAGGCTGAACACGGTTACTCCAAGATGCTCACTTGGCTCCAAGTTTCCAGGGAGGCTGGACATAAAAGAAAATAGGAACAATTGCCTAATTCTCACTCCTTAGGAGAAGAGAGCTCACAGCTTCCCCAGCAGAACAAAGCGTGGAGTGCGGGACATGGCTTTCTTACTCCGAATGTTGTTAGCAGATACAGAAAATACAAAAGGAACTGTGGCCGGGAACATTTTCATAGCAATGGGGGAGTAATTCTCCCAAGTCTCTTTCCTTGGAGATTCTTTGGAGAAGAGCTGATGGCATGTCGAGTTTCTGTCTTTTTTGCATCATTAGCAAGGAGAATTGGGGAGGAACTCTAAAGCTAGATTGCCTCACATATGGGAAGAACCCAAGAAGAGTTCCTTTTCTTTTCCTTTCTTTTCTTTTTTTTTTTTTGTTTTTTTGAGATGGAGTCTCACTGTTGCCTAGGCTGGAGTACAGTAGCGCAATCTCAACTCACTGCAACCTCCCGCTCCCGAGTTCAAGAGATTCTCTTGCCTCAGCCTCCTGAGTGGCTGGGATTACAGGCACCTACCGCCACGCCAGGCTAATTTTTTTGGTATGTTTAGTAGAGATGGGGTTTCACCATGTTGGCCAGGCTGCTTTCAAACTCTTGACCTCAAGTGATCTGCCTGCCTCGGCCTCCCAAAGTGCTGGGATTGCAGGCGTGAGCCACATGACTAGCTGAGTTCCTTTTGATGGGACTTGTAAGAGAAACGGTAGTATTCCTGAGCCATTCACTCCTGGTCCATGGAGTCTGAAATACCAAGAGAGATGGAAGAGCAATGGAGTCTGAACCAAGTGGGATGGTCTAACGAGACTGCTGGCACATCCGCCTTGTCCTTTGGGAAACTGCTCTGTCTCCAGCTTCCCTACCAAGGGAAAGGGATACTTGGGCACATCTTAATAGGGATCCATATAGTGAGATGCACCTGGCATCCCTGGGCCCAGCCTGGTTATTGCGTGACTATTCGTTCATTCACAAAGGTTGGTTGAGCACTATGTACCAGGCACTGTTGCAGGTACCAGAGGTATAGCAGTTAGCAAAACAGACCTCAACATTCAACTCCCCGTGAAGAAAAAGTCTTCTGCGTGTGATATAATTCAGACAGTGATAAGCGCTTTGCAGAAAAGTAAATTGGGTGCAGGAGCAGGAAGTGATGTGGTGGCACCTTAATGAGAGGTCCAAGAGGCTTCCCTGGCCATATATGTTGAGCAGAGGGTGGAGGGAGCCCTGTCAGGGTTCAAGGAGGAGCATTCCAGGCAGTGGGGAGTGCAGAGGGCCTGAGGTGTGTGGGTGCTTGACACGTCCACAGAGAAGAAAGTGGGCCAGACAGTGAATGGCGGTGGGGGCGGGGGAGTAAAAAATGAAACCCACATTGGGAATAAATTGGCTAGAGTCTTAGGGACCAAAGTAGAATTTTAAGAATTGTAGAAATGCCCCAATAAGGCCACATAACAAATTGTCCCAAAGCCTGGGACTTAAAGCAATCAAGACGGAACAGCTCCTCTGGTCCAGCTGGGGCTCACATGCACCTGGGTGGCCACTGCAGGGTCTGGGTTGTTGGGCGGGGGTGACCGCCTTGCTCTCCCCTCCTCCATCAGGGGAGATAGGGCTTCTGGCCAGGGCACAGTTGGGGCATGAAGGAGGCAGAGGCATGGAAGACCTTGCGAGGCACAGACTTGAATGGAGCAAGACATTGCTCGAATTCTGTTGGCCAAAGCCAGACAGGGTCTGCCAACCCAGGGTCTCCCTGGTTTCAGAGTAGGGGGACAGTAAGTAACTCTGTTTCCAGCTATGAGGAGCCAAGAAGTCGCATCAGCAGGAATGTAGATGTGGTGCAGTGCAGGGAGCCCCCAAATCAGGGCTTAGGCTGGGGGGGTGCTTGGGTTTGCACAGGGAAGAATTCAAGGACAAGCAGTGGTGTTGGACAGCAGCTTTTACTGAAGCAGAGGGAACAGCAGCAGCAGAGTCCCAGCTCCTTGCAGAGCAAGGCTGCCTCACAGGCCGTGTGCCCAGAGCAGCAGTTCAGAGGCAGCTCCGCGGTCGTATTTATACCCACTTTAATTACATGCAAATTAAGGAGCAGGTTATGTAGAAAATTGTTGGAAAGGGGTGGCAACTTCTGGATCGCCCGGTCATGGCCGTGCAAAGGGGCAGTAACTTCTGGGTGTTGCCATGGCGATGGTAAACTGACGTGCGCTGTGGGTGTGCC